ATTATCCTAACTATGCTTTCCTATGTTTGTGCTCTCTCAGTGGCTTAACAAAATGTACTGTATTCTTGTTCCCCGCATGGACATTTTAAAGTTTTTGCTCATAAATGCCCTAACTGTAATGACTAATTAGGATCTCAGTTTTATATTCAGCCTTTAGGTAATGAGAATATTATATGAAGAAAGTCAACGGAACTTGTTTATTTTTAGATTCTAAAGGCATTTTCTTACTTTCTTAAATTAGAAAAGGGGGAACATAAAAAGAAGGGACTCAGACCAACAGGGGATATCTGAGCCAAAGCTGGTCTGTGTGACTATAACCAAACATGTCACCAACCATAACCTGGTAGATGTCTTCTCTAAGGGAAAGCAGCGGCTCAATACTTCCAAGTTGCCCTACAGAGCAGAGCTCAGGCTCAACTTCAGCTGCCACCGTTTGCTGACGTGCGTCACTGGGGTGCTCTGCTCTCTGTTTGGCCGCATGGGTCTCGTCCTCGGAAGCTTGCTTTGAGGCGACATGAGAGAATGCACATGGGAAGGCCTTGTGGAGCGGCTGCACAAGGAGGGTCACTGACGGGTGCTGGAATTGCAAGTGCCTGCGGCTTACTCTAGGACAGGGTCTCCCAACGCACCTGTCTCCCCGATTCCTTGGACAGGACAACCCGCTGTCCCCCACGCTGGGAGGTATGAATGAATGAAGAATGAAGTGCTTTGCCCTGTCCAGTTTCGCTCAGTGGTTAGAGCATCGGCCCATGAACCAAGTAGTCGTGGGTTCAATTCCGGCCAAGGGCACGTACCTCGGTTGCAGTTCATCCCCAGCCCCGGTCAGGGTCATGCAGGAGGCAGCCACTCAATGTGTCCCTCTCACATCAATGTTTTTCTCTCTCTCCCTCCTTCCCACTCTATCTGAAGATAAATAGGAAAAAAAATCCTTGGGTGAGGATTAAAAAAAAAAAAATGAAGTGCTTTTTGGAGAACTGACTAGGAAGACGGAGGAGAAGCTCTGTGAGTTGCAGTACTGAGCACTTAGCACACTCCACAATCCACTGGCATTTCACTCAGAGTTCAGACCAGACTGGTTCTGACTCCCAGCTGTACATTTCACTAGTTGTGTAAACGTGGGAAAAGAGCTTTCCCTCAGCTTCGGTGTCTCAGTTTCCTCATCTGTACAATGGGAGTAATAACAGTGACCCCTCGCAGACCTCCGGGCCACAGAATGGTTGTGAGCGTTCATGAGTCAGCGTGAACGCTGTTTAGACCTCAGGCACCTAGGAAGCATGCTGTGAGTAAGTGGTAAACAACTCTAAAAAAATAAATAAAAGGAAACAGCCCGTTTTTCCTCTGTTGTCACTCATCACTGTCCAGACTCCTCGCTGCTTTTCCTCCTCCCCAATGTCTTAAGACGGGTCCTCCTTTTTGGTTTCATTGACATATGTTTCTGCTCCCTTGGTCATTACTCCAGTTTCACGGCTGTCTGCCGATGACTTCGCTCTTCCCTGAGCCCGGCCTCTCGGCGCCTTGCCTGCTCACACCTCCACTTGTAGGTGTGAGAGCCACCCCTGGCCCAGCACACTATCACTCACCACCAACGTCCCACTCCCCCTCGACACAGCTCCCCACCCTCACTGGAGGGCAAGTCTGTCTTCTAGCTGCACAGAATAAACCCCGGTGTCCTCCCCGATTCCTCTCTCCTTCGTACCCCAGGTCTGACCCGTCGGGGGATCCTGTAAGTTTCCCCTTGAGTGTATCTGAGGCTCAGCCCATGTCACTCGCTGTGCGGCCCCACACTGGTCTTGCCTGACGACGCCTGGGCCTGAGCACTGCATTTCCCACTTCTTCCCTCATCTTCGCGTGCTGTTCTCTCAGTGCCCAAAGCAAGTCATCTAAAATCAGGAACAAGACAAGGATGCCCACTCCCGCCACTCTTACCCAACACAGAACTGGAGTCCTAGCCAGAGCAATCGGGCAAGATAAAGAAATACAAGACACCCACATTGGGAAAGAAGAAGTACAAGTGTCACTTTTTGCAGATGACATGATTCTGTACATAGAAAACAATAAGACTCCACCAAAAAAAAACCTATTAGAAACAATAAACAAATACAGTAAAGTTGCAAGATACAAAATCAATATACAAAAATCTACCCCATTCCTATATACGAACAATGAAACTTCAGAAAAAGAAATTAAAAAAAAATTCCTTTTCAAATTGCAACAAAAAAAGAATAAATAAACTTAACAGAGGATGTGAAGGACCTATATCCTGAAAACTACAAAGCATTATTAAAAGAGATTTAAAAAACACACAATGAAATGGAAAGATATTGATATTCCAAGTTCATGGATTGGAAGAATCAACATAGTTAAAATGGTCATATTACCTAAAACAATACATAAATTTAATGCAATCCCCATCAAAATCCCAATGTCATTTCTTAAAGAAATTGAACAAAAAAAATCATCAGATTTATATGGTTACAAAAGATTTGTGGTTACAAAAGATCCTGAATAACCAAAGCCCGAGGAAAAAAAAAATAGCCAGAGGTATCAGGCTACCTGATTTCAAATTATACTACAGAGCTATGATAATCAAAATTGCATAGTACTGGCAGAAAACCAGACACACCGACCAATGGAACAGAGCCGAAAGCTCAGAAATAAAACCACATGTATATGGGCAGATAATTTTTGACAAAGGAGCCAGAAACACACAATGGAGCCGGGAAAATTGGAAAGTTGGAAAGCCGCATGCAAAAGAATGAAACCAGACTACAGTTTGTCCTCATGTACAAAAATTAATTCTAAATGGATCAAATACCTATATATAAGATCTGAAACAATATATTACATAGAAGAAAACATAAGCACTAAACTTATAGACCTTTGTCTTATAGAACATTTTATGAATTTGACCACAAAGGCAAGGAAAATAAAGGCAAAAATAAATTAATAGAATTATATCAAATTAAAAGCTTTAACACTGCAAAAGAAACTACCAACAAATCAAAAAGGCAACCTAGCAAATGGAAGATGATATATAAAAACAATAGCTCTGACAAGGGGTTAATACCCAAAATACATAAAGAACTCATACAACTCAACACCAAACAAACAATCCAATTAAAAATTGGGCAGAGGAGCTGAACAGATACTTCTCCCAAGAAGACATACAAATGGTCAATAGATATATGATAAGATGCTAAACTTCACTAGCTATTAGGAAAATGCAAATCAAAACTACAATGAGATAACACCTCACACCTGTTAGAATGGCTATTATCAACAAGATAAATAATAACAAGTGTTGGAGAGGTTGGAGAGGAAAAGGAACCCTCATTTACTGCTGATCAGAATATAAAGAGGTACAGCCACTATGGAAAACAGTCTGCTGATTCCTCAAAAAATTAAGAATAGACTACCATATGACCCAGCAATCCCTTCTGGATATCTACCCAAAAAACTCAAAAACATTTATTCACAAAATGCACCCCATGTTCAGTGCAGCATTATTCACGATGGCCAAAGCATGGAGACAACCAGAGTGTCCTTCAATAGATGACTGGATAAAGGAGATGTGGTACATATATACTATGGAATGCTACTGAGCCATAAGAAAAGATGAAACATTGCCATTTGTAACAACATGAATGGACCTTGAGAATATCGCACTAAGTGAAATTAGTCAGACAGAAAAAGTTAATTATATGATTTCACTCATATGTGGGATATAAAACTGAAACTCATAAACACAGACAACAGTATGGTGGTTACCAGAGGGAACAGGGTGTTGGGGGTAAAGTGGACCAAGCATATAGTGATAGAAGATGATTTGATTTTGGGTGATGGGCACACAATGCAATATACAGGTTATATATCACCAAAATGTGCAATTGAAATTGAAACCTATATGATCTTATTAACCAATGTCACTCCAATACATTTAATAAAAAAATCAAAAGTAAAGACACATCTTGCTTCTGCACACAGCCTTCTGACGGCCCCACTTAACCTGGAGAAGAGCTGAAGTTCTGACACTGGCCTGCGAAGTCTTCCTGACTCAGGACCCAGGTCCTCCCAGCTCACTTCGTCCCACTTCCCTCCCGCACGCTGGCCGGAGCACCACGCTCCCGCCGCTGCCTGGCAGTCCCTTTGGCCTGAAACGCCCTCCAGCTCAGCTACTTCCTTCACCCCCACAAGCTTTTGCTCGGGTCACTTTTTGTTGTTGTTTCCTTCCATAATGAGTCTATTTAAAACTGTATGCCCCTCAGCATGCCTGACTTCCTTCTTCCTATAGAGCATCTTTGACCTCCAAGCACACTCTCTGATTTACTGACACTGTGTTGACTGTCCAGTGTCTGCCATCCTCCCTGGAGTGTAAGCTTCGCAGGGGCAGTGATATCTCTGTGTTGGTTCACTCCTGGCCCCTAAGCTCCCGAGGCACGGCCTAGCTCACAGCAGGAGTCCAGCACACATTTACTGTCAATATCCCCAAAATACTGGCACTCCAGAGGGCTGGCTCAGTAACCTACAAAGACGGATGAGCCTGCTGCGTCAGATCCCGGCACAGGCCATGCTCCACCTGCCGTCATTTGTCCCCCCAACATCAAGCGGGTGTTAACTCCTCCCACCGTCCACAGGACACTGCTCAGCAGTCAGTTCCGGTCAGTAGCTGCTCAAAGGTTCCCACACACCAGCATGCAGTGAGCCAAGTGCTGGGTCAGATGACAAGGTTAGCGAAGCCAGTTCACACGTTTGCAGTAGTGAAGTAGCTGTGTCCTTCCATACTGCATCCTCTCTGTGGGCCACGTGACCAGGCTGGGTCCCGCTGGGGCCGCTGCACACGCCAGGGACACAGGAAATACCCCTTCCCTAGGACCCTTGCTACTGAAGCTCAACACACCTCTGGGAGGCGGCAGCTGGAAGGAGCTCACTGTGCGGGTCTGAAAGGGCCAGTCTCCTCCTCCAGAGGCAGAGCCTTGCCGGGACAGAGGCCCTCTACTCACCAGGATGAAGACAGTGAAGAATATGACGACGATCGCGGCCGTGATGAAGAGCTTCTTCCGCGGAAACACGGCAGCAGGCAGGAGAAACACCAGCGCGAAGCAGATGGCCCCCCGCAGCCCTCCGTAGGCGATGATGAACTGGTCCTTGAAGGTCAGGGGAATTGTCCGGAACCAGTTAATGGCCTGCGTCAGGACAAAGACACCTGAGACAGAAAACAGAACCGAAAAACCGGCTGTTGAGGCCAGGATGTGTCAATTCCGGGACGAGCTCTCTGGGCTTCTGGGACAGGGAAAGGGTTTAAGAATAGGCCCCAGGAGCCCTGGCTGGTTTGGCTCAGTGGTTAGAGCATCGGCCTGCGGTCCGGAGAGACCCGGGTTCGGTTCCCGCTAAAAGCAGGTACTTCGGTTGCAGTTTGTCCCCGGCCCTGGTTGGTCGTGCGGGTGGCAGCTACTCAATGTGTCCCTTCACGTCGATGTTTCTCTCTCTCTCGCTCTCCTTCCTCTCTCTTCCTCCCACTCTATCTGTACAAAAAATGGAAAAATATCCTCGGGTGAGGAAAAAAAAATAAAGAATAGGCCCCAGGAAATCTTCCCCTCCCCCACTTCCTCTGCTGTGCTCATGCCACTGGGCTCCTGCGTGAAAGCTGATGTGACAAACGTGGACTCAGAGGAGCCAAGGAAGTTTAACTTGACTACAACAAAGGCCTGACATGCTCGAGGAAGGAAAGAACCGATCAGGACGAGGGAGAAGAGAAGAAAGGAAGAAGAGGAGGGGGGCGAGGGAGCACGAAGGGAAGGCCAGAGAGATGGAGCAGCAGCAGCAGAGGGAGGGCGAGAAGAAAGCCTCGCGCTGCCAGGGCGCTGATGACAGCGTTTGGGGAAACACGCGCGTTACCCAGGGCTCTCCAGATCAGGCAGAAGGCCAGGGTGAAGCACACGAAGGCCCAGTTCCACTCGTGGTTCTTCCCGACGGTGGACACGCCCATGAAGATGAAGATCAGGGTCTCGCTGACACTGCTCAGCATCTTCATGAAGTACTTGATGGTCGTGTAGGATTTTTGAGATACGTTTTCTTCCACGTACTTGTTCATAGTCATTGCACAAGTGATGATTCTGCAATGAAAGATGCAGCTGCTATTTCAACTTGGCCGTGATCCTGATCAGAATGTGAGTCAGCATTAAGAGCTACACGTGGCCCACCCTTCTGCCCATGACCACATTATCCCTTGATTTTATAATCGAATGTGACCTGCATCCTTGGAAACCCTACTCTCTCTGGAGGTCTGAATCGCTACCCATGGTCTGAACTGCTGGCTTCCACCTGCTCTGTCCCTCCACTCTCCTCACTCCAGATCCCATATCATAGGCTGTGGACACGGGCACCACCAGCTGTCCTATCAGCAGCACAGAGAAAACAAGTCCATACTGCATTCAAAACCCATTATCGTTCTATAAAATCAGTCCCACCTTCTCTTTTCCTCCAGTGCCTAAATGCTAAGCTATTGCCTAAAATCCTCAACTTGAAACTGTGGTCGCATTCAATGTCTCTCCCCAGCACGCCTCCTCAGTGCCCCTAGCACCACCGAACTGGCCACCAATTATTTTCTAACTCTCATCCTGAGTATTCCTTGGACTCTGCCCCCCTCCACCCCCACACACTCTATTTTATCCCAATGCCTTAGTTCTGGGTCTCATTTCTACTTATCTACCGTATCCACTTCTGGGAAATTTTGAATGTGTTACTAGGCTCTCGGAATTCCCAGAGGAGGGAAACTCTACCTTGTTTTCCTAGCATTTCCAAAGCTCTGGGACCACATGATATTGATGTTAAAATAGCACCTTTGCACACTCTGGTAAAGGCAGGGCTGTGGGAGCAGCTCCCAGTCGGGCACCTGAAGCTCTTCCCACACTTTCTCAGTGGACAACGCCAGCTGCACCTTCATCCTCTCCACGCAGCACACACCACGTGCCTCCGCTGTCTGCACTCCCCAACCTGCTCTGCGCTCTCTCCTGGCCTCACTGTGCGCATACTCCTGGCTGTCTGCACTCCCCAACCTGCTCTGCTCTGCACTCTCCTGGCCTCACTGTGCGCATGCTCCTGGCTGTCTGCACTCCCCAACCTGCTCTGCTCTGCACTCTCCTGGCCTCACTGTGCGCATGCTCCTCTCTGCCTGGAAGGACACGCTTGACCAACTCAATGCCACCGACAGAGGGAAGTGTAGTGTGAGCTGATGCTAGCTTACACTGGGGCTCATCCTTAGAGACACAGTTACTGTAAAGTACCAACAGCACGGCATCCTCGGGCACTGCAGACGAAGCAGGAGGTCAGATTGAGGAGCCCTTCCACAGAGCGCTGGCCATGGCATAAACCAAGTGCTGTCATGAGTGATGGAGTTGTCCACATTCTCACAACTTCAGAGTAACAGTGAGCCTCCATGCCCCTCACGTCAAACACGGCGTGTAGTCCTCCTTACCCTGAGGAATATCTGACGTGGTAGGGAATCCCCTAACTGTGGGCACAAGGATAGGTAGAAGAATGCAAACCTAAGGGCCGAGTTAAGATTAAACAGGAAACCAGAACACATTTCCATGTGAGGAACAAACCTGTTCCTTCCATAAAAGATATGTGTGTGTATCTTTGTGCCCCACATTAAAGCAAAACAAAAATCCCACCAAGCAAAGAACCAAGCATTTAGCCACAATGTCACTGCCCCCAAATGAGCAGCTATTTAGTCTAGATTTATATGCATGAGGAATACATAATTCATATTGTTCCCAAGAGAAAGAGTGTCCTATTAAATAGACCAATAAAAGGTGGCCACCATAAACACACAGCCAAGCCTGTAAATAGCTGAGGGCTTATATAACAAAAGTCAATGTTTATGGCACCTCTACTCCGGCTGTGACAAGCACTGTGCAAACACATCACATGAATTATGTCAGTTAAACCTCATAACCAGTCTCTGAGGTAAGATCTATTATCATTCTCATTTTACAGGTGAGAGGACACAGGCAGCAGAGGTCCACTTACTCAAGGTTGCACTGCTAATAAATGACAGTGCCAGGTTCTACCCCAGGCAGTCTGACTCAAAGCCAACACTGGGAAGAACCGACCCCTTGCTCTTTCAAACTCTGTGTGAACTGACCATCTCTGCTGTGCAGAAGGCCTTTCCCTGCCCAGCCCTCGCTCTTACTCTCTCAATCACAGCCTGTTGGTATCTTCTCCTGTGGCCGTTGTAAGACATTACCAAGAACGCAGTGACCTGCAACACACAAACTTACCATCTTATACTTGCAGAGCTCAAAAGTCCAAAACCACCTTCACTGGACTGAAATCCAGGTTCCAACAGGGCTGTGCTCTTTCTGGAGGCTCTAGGGGAGAATCTTTTCTTTGCCTTTTCTAGTTTCTGGAGGCTGCTCGCAATCCTTGGCTTGCGGCTGCATCACTCTGACCTGCCTTTCTGCTCACATCTCCTTCTCTAACTCTGACCTCTGCCTCCCTCTCATCAGGACCTTGTGATGTCATCAGGCCCACCTGGATATCCAGGGTCACCTTCCCATCTCAAGGTCCTAACTTCTTCACATTGGTGAAGTCCCTTTTGTCAAGTAAGGTAAAACATCCATGGGTTCTGAGGATGACACTCTTGGGGAGACTGTTCAGCTGACCACATTGTTGCTGGATTCACCTCCCCTGTGGTGGTGGTCACCACAACCAAGTGCATGCCTCCAGATGAGCATGGCCAGAGCCGGTCACACGTGCTTGGTGACAGTGACGAGCAGAAGCTCTGTCACATTGACATGATAAGAAAGACTGGCAACAGACAGAGACAGGAGTGGAAAGTGGCATCTCTCTGAGCAAGCCTGCAGGGGGCGCCTAGCCAGCCCTTCCCAAATATAAACTATTGGTTCACTACAGTTCTGAACTGTCATATTTGGGGTTAATTTTTCTTTAACCAGACTTTACAAAGCAAGATTTACCCCATACAAAATAATGGGGTAAAAGCCAAAATCAGTCAAGACTCTGAACCATAACATGTTTATAAAGGAAAGACATCCACAGCAACACACACTAATGAGCCTTTCTGAAACAGGGCCACATCAAAAATTTGTGACAAAAACAATTATAATGGCATATTACTTCTTTAAATTCTCTAATCCTATGCAAAAGATGCTTCAAAATGGTTTTATTATAAAGCATTTAAGCTTCAAAATGAAAATGAAGAATAATAAACACCAAAATCCTCATCACCCAGCTTTTCCCAATCATTTCATTTCTAAAACTGAAATGAGCTAAAGAACTGAAGCCCCTCCATCACTCATACCCACCCTGTTCCACTCTCTCCCTCTTGGCTTTAGATGTTTTTGTTTGTTTATCCTTCAAAAGGTGATTTTTAAAAGGCTGGAGAATATTTTTTAGAGAATGTGCTAAGCATTTCTTTCTCAGACCCTGCTCCTCTCGTCACTGGGCCAGATGCGGACCAGGCCAACAGTAATCTTCAGTTTGTTAGGTGAGCAATTTAACAGGAGTTTCCATTCCAAAATGGCGAAAAGAAAATACAGCTTTTGTGTAGGAATAAAAACAATGAATTTTACATGAATGTCCACAGGATCCATTCCATGGCTTTGCACCTGACATGACACCAGGAGTGGTTCTCCTGTCTGCCAGACACCTGGCTGCGATGTCATCCTGTTCCTTCCGGCCCCGGGAGACGCTGGGGACAGCACACCCTTGCAAGTTCCGGAGGCTTCAGCGCGGCTGCGCCCTGTGCAGGGAGTGGGGGCCCCTCTAGACATTGATGCATCTTGTGGGCTGGAGCAAACGCCCCAAGCCCCCTGTGCTGGTCCTCACACCCACTCACTGCCACCGCAAAGGCGGGAGGGCTTCATCACAGAGGTTTTGTTTGCAGTGTGCTCGCCCTGAGACAGCTGCCTCACTCTGTCACGTCGTAAGTGCCGAAAACTGCAACTGAGCTGGTCTCCTTCCAGTCAGGAGGCACACACAATACAGCCCCCAGAAATGGAGAGAGAGAAAACCTTCTCTGTCCCCTCCATAGATCATCTACAGCAAACAGTCTTAAATGTCACCATAAATTTAAGTCACCTTCATTTTTTTAAAGCACAAGAAACTCATAGTGCCGGGGAATGGTGCAGGCTGGTGTCTGGCTGTCCTCAGCCTTACTGGGCGTGAAGTGTGTGGCCAGGAGTGTCCTTGCATGCAGGGTCACACCACAGCATATCACAGTAGTGCGGCACATGACAGAGACGTGGGATTTCTTTGTCCATCATGTAAACATGTGAGATTTCACGCCTAAAGTCCACAGCCTCTCACCCTCACTCTGAACATCAATGTGAGAGTATGAACGACACAGTAATAACCCAAATAGACGTATTACACTCTAGAACATTCTAGCTGAATTTCTTAACTCTGAAGATTCTTCGAACATAAAACTGATGGCCTTCAGTCTCCTCACAATGACTTACTTTTATTAGCTCATGTCGCTGAATGGCCTTCCCGCCCCTTCATGCGCGACTCTCTCCTGATCTCTGCATTCAGTAATGTGTTTGTGAATAACAAGTGAGTGGTGGCCAACGCTTTTTCGCATCTGTTCTGGGTCCAGCGCTGGGGAACGAAGATGAAGCAAACAAGACATGGCTTTTCCTCTGGAGAGCTCACAACCTGAGGACAAGTGGCAGAGGTCACTGCAGCAGCCCTGCCCGTGCCCTGCCCGTGGCTGTGACCCCGCCACAAAGGGGGCTGAGCAAAGTCTCCACAGATAAGTAAAGAGCTCGCCAGCAGGAAGAAGAGGAGACGAGTCAAGGAAACGAGGAGGCCACCTGCAAGGCTGGAAGGAAGTCAACAGGCTGGCATGTTTGGGGGCCTGTGGAATGACTGTTCGCTGGAGGACAGGAAGTTGGGATAAAAGAAGTTTATGGGCCAGACAATTGACAAATGACACTGTTCTATGATATGTGTAGATGTTTAAACTGGATTCTGTAGGCTGGAGGGAAACATGAGAGATGATCTTTCCAAAGATAAACACCCAACAGAAACGCGCTCTCTAGTATTCCATGAGCCATCCTAGCCGTCGGCAACGCTGGCTCACGGTGGGCAT